ACAAGCAATTGGCACATCAGAGGCACAGAGGCTTGATGTGGGTTTTAGAAAGACCTCCTCAAGTGGTCCACACCTTGGCAGAAGTGCACACAGCTTGCCCCATTAAGTTTATTAGATATGTGGAGATATCATGCAACGGCGATCATGTTTTCACCACAAAGGGACAGGAAGTTAAAATTTACAGTCCAGTTATGGCGGGTAGTAAGTTGAGGTTGGTGGGTAGAGGGAAAAAAAATAAGCACCAAACAACATTCTGTGGTGCTCATTTGAGAACTGCACCAAAATTGATTTCTGCACCCCTGTGTCAGTCATCAACATAACTTTACGGAGCATGCATGGCATTTAGTGTAATCTAGCAATGCTTGAGAGATGAAAACTTTAAAAACTCAGGCAACCAATGTACTGTAATGGGAATTTGACATCTTACAGTGTAAGTAACTGTTCGTACCTTTGAATGCTGACCAATTATTTTGCAGATAAGCAAAGTTGCCTGCTCATGCACTCGACTGCATTCTGTGTAGCTGCTCAAAATGCTGATTGTGCTGACCTTAACCCCTCCCAAATAGAAGAAACCAAGATAAAATGAGAGCGCAAGATGCATGGCTCCCTTGACAGATCTGTGAACGGTGTCTCTCCATGTTTTTTTTTCAAATAAATCTCATCATTTTTTAAAATACTTGTTGTCTTGGTTTCCCTGGGCAAGACACCAACTCCTAGTCTCACCGTAGCCGATATACAACTCCACAATCAATTCAGCAAAGGATTCCTGACTGATTCATTTCAAATGAGGAGTCTGCTTTCAACACAACTGTATCGCTCGCTTTAACAAATGACGATCAGGTCTAATCGGTTCATCGTTCCAAACTCTCGTAAAAATCAAAGCATGTGTGATTGTTTTCGAAGGCAGCAAAATTTGCATGAGCACTGCATACAACCTTGAAGTTAAAATGATCGCCAAAGCTACTTACAAAAAAAAAACAAATAATAAATAAATACATAAAACACTTGTCTCAGCTAGCCCACTAATATTTTAGAGTACTAAAATAGGGGATTCAAGGTTGCCATGGCAGCGACCGAGATCCTATTCTCCTTAATACAAGGCAGTGTAGCAGCGCCATGATTTTAAAGCTCTAATTCTCAGGTAGAATCACCACATGTTGATTTAGCTTTGCTGGCTGTTTACAGTTAAAACTGTCTCTCGACAGGGGACTATTGTTCCAGTATAATGCAGCACTGTGAGATAAAAGTGGAGAAGTGTGAGAAACTGGTAAAATAGGGATAGAAGGTGTGACGTGGAGGAGGGGAAATGGTGGAGTGGCGGCAGGAGGAAAATGGCAGTGATAAGTACAATATCAGTATCTGGTTCCTCATTTCTCTTCTCCTTTTGTATCAATTCAAACACAGAGATCAGGAATGGACTGTTTAATTTTGTTTGAAAAAAAAAAGAATACAATCAGGCAGACTTACAGTATCTCCGAATTTTTGAAGGTAGGTAGGAGCAATAAACCAACCAAATGGGCTGCTACTCAAGCACTTCCAAATATGGGCAAACTTGCCTCGCGACGCTGTCGTCCTTGCGTGCTTACAGACATGAGGAGATGCACACAAAGAAGAGTTTTCCAACTGACTGGTGTTTTTCATTGTTTGTTAGCATTAAGTGCAACAGACCTTGTAAGGTAGAGCTATTGTGTGTGGTGGTTTTAAGTACACCATTCTGTGTTTAGTTCAACAGTAGCCATCAAGTGGGAGTGGCAATAAAGAGCTTGAAGGCATTTCTTTTGAAGAACTGTTCACCATCTGTTAAACTGCTGCTTGTTGTGAGGTGTGTTCATTTGAGTGGACTGTCACTATACAGTTGTCTCATGAGCTCACCAGTAAGTGGTAATGAGGACTGTCTCCATTCCATGAGAGAGGGCCACCTACTCAAAAAGGCTAATTTCATCAGGACAAGAAATGAAGTGTGTAAAGCATACGATAATTCTTCATCCTTGGGAGTATTTTGATGAAAACATGTCATTGAGACACCTCTGAATTATTTTAATTTGTGGAAAAAAAAAGATAATCTCCTCTGTTGGTGCACAACTCAATAAAAATGTGGACTGAAAAACACATTTTCTCCTGTTGCTGTTTCTTTCTCAATGGAACAGTCAACTCTCCCAGGCCAATATGCAAATGGTCTCATTCATGGTCCACCACGCTATCAGCACACGATATTAGCCGTGACTTCGCATCACTTTGCAGAGTTGCTCGAAGCAAGGAAGAATTTATTATCATTACAAAGGTACTAAATGGAGCAAACTGAAAAATTTATTCGCCAGAAATCCTTTTGTGGTCAAAATCTTTCCACCTTGGTGGAGGTCAGTGCACAACCAAGTACGTTTCTAGTCGCTACAGCATGAGACTGAGACAGTGCCCTGTATGTGTGAGCGTGTGTTTCCAATTTCTCAAGGCTTTTCAAAGCGACAGCTAGACCCCCTAACGATCATCACTGCTCTCGGCCCCATCTGCTAAAGTCATCACCAGCCCAGACACTCTGCCTCCCTCTTGCTCAGTCACATGCACAGACATGCACAAACATACACACACATGAACGAGGTGTAAAACAGCCATCCTTCAGCATTTTTAACTGAGATGGGAACCAGACAAAAATGGTCTTATTCTCAGTACTTCTTCCGTTGGCTGACTTTCTTTCGTGCATCCTAAGAACCAAAGACCAGTCTTGTATAAAGTACTTGAGAGTGATACTTGATTAAAAATGCAAGCATTGCAACAGAAAATAACTCTGTGCTTTACATTAAAATACATTTTTTCACATTAAAAGTCATTGAAATTGAAATGAAAATATTTTTTAAAAGTGAGTTGTTACAGTTTTGATTCTAAATTTCTGATCTAATTTTATGTGTATGTATTTAATTTACATCAGTAGTATAGCTAAAGAGCTGCGTATTGGCGAAGGAGCAAAGTTAGCTAGCACGTTAGCCTGACCATCATGTTCTGCCTTAACAAGCTCATGGTAATTAAAAGAACATTGACATTTTGACTTCAAGAGATTAATGTAAGTTAATTAAACTTAACAGGATCAATGGGAAATTTTCACTGCCTAACATTTCTGTCACTTTCAGTAGGCATGCAGCACTTCATCTTGTAGGAAGAGTCTAACCCAAGTGCACAAAATCAATTCATTTAAATATGCCCACCGGTGTGAATTAAGTGTTCATTTATACCGCAATGATATGATGCAATTAAAAAAAAAAAAAGACGTATAAAAGATTAAATGTTAAAATTAAATAAAGAAAGCTTTGATGAAGCCTTATTTATTGTTGTCATTTCCTTACAGCTTAGTTTGCTACATTTCTCTTGTGGTTGACATCAGTGAACTGAAGCTTTAATTAATGTAGAATAACTCAATAACAGACATTTTAAGTAGCTGTCGCAGTAGTAGTGCATCTCAAAATAGCAACAGTCCACAATAACATTATAATGTAATATCAGCAAGGAAAATCCATAAAAGTATGCGGAAACAGAACAGTCTATTAATATGTCCAACAGCAAATAAAGATGGACATTTAATGCATGTTCAACACTTTTGAAAAAAATTCCGTAACTCTTTGCTGCTTGTCTTACTGCAGAGAAAAGGAGAAAGGTGGGGGAGGGCCACGTGACAAAGAGGTTATCTGACTGGCCTCTTCATTGACAGCAGTAAAAGTCAAAAGGCATTAGCAGCAGAAGTAGGAGGATTGTATTGCAATATAAGTATGCATTTTACTTAGGAAATATAGTAGAATAAATGTGTCGGTCAGCAATAACAGTAAAACAAATCTACATGCGATTCTTACTCAAGTACCGTCACAAAGTACCTTTACTCCATTACGGTACTGGACTGGCAATTTGTTGCTGACTTGTTGAGTCTTTGCAGGTGTGAAGAAAGTTGCAACTGCTGTCCCATTTTTACAGTTTAATTTTACACACAACTTCTATCTTTAGACAAGAGTTACAATTTCATTTTTTTTTTTACTTTAGGCAAGCAGGCCTGGCAAAAAAAAAAAAAATGGTAGGTGAGTGACATGACACAGAAGTGAACAAATGCAGAAAATAAATGTAATGCTCCACATGTTGGTTGAAGGTGAGGCTTTGAAGTAACAAGGGGTTGCCTTGAAAATTGAGACCCTAAAAGGCACAGATGATGCATAGAGAATATACAATGTCTGCAACTGTGTTTCCCATTAGGAGGAACACGTGTAAACGGTGGGGAAGCAGCTGTGGACCATCACTTGTCCCCAACAAGTGTTAGACAAACTTCACACTGCAACTTTGACCTTTAGCCATTCCGTGGTCTTACCTTCGCACAAAACACAAACCAGTAGAAACTACGACACCAGTGAGATGGAATTTTTGAGGCCGAGGCTAACTCTGATATTTGGCAGAATGCAATTCGGATAATAGGTAAATTGGCTGATTAATTTAAAAATATACATGTATAAAATGAATACAATAACTTCTTTCTTGGTCCCTTAACGCTTACAACGATAAAGATAGGAATGACAGGCAGACGAACTCATTGTTTTGCAATAATATTGTCAGTCATTGAACATTAAATCTTACATTATATAAGGAATCTGTTTTGTGTACTCCACTTGAGTGGCCAAAAAGTGAAAAGCATCACGTGGCCGAAAATGTCTTGGTATGCAGATGTATTAAGATTTGGCGGTAGCCAACGTTCTCGTTGAGCACATGATTAATTGAATAGAATGTCATGTGGAATGCCCCAAAAAAAAAAAAACCTAAGGGTAAACAACTGCCCTAAACTAAGATCTAACAGAAGTTGAAGACAAAAAACTAAATGTATACTGTTGCATTGATTGTGTAACAGGGAGTCACATGGTCCTTTTTTTTTTTTTTTCCTTTTCAACGCCTGGATGGGTGGAGCAAGACAATATATTGGAGTGGTGGGTATTTGGTGCAAAATAAGAAACAAAATGTAAAGAAAACAAGATTAGTACCTTGGCAGGGAGGCATACTGACGCTCCACCTCTTCATATTGTGGCGCGATTCGATGATCTTTCCCTCTGCCCGGAATCTGCAACAGACGAAGCAAAAGTTGTGCTGGCGTTCATGTGTCTTGTCAGTCTCTGTGGATCAGTGTTTATTGTGCAATTTTAGCATATTCAATAACAAACCACAAAGAAGGTTGCTTTTTCAGAACCTCGCTCCATGTGTTGGTTCCCTGACTGCCCTTGTGTTCTCTCAACCCGAGGCTTGTCGGTGGAATGGGTTTTGAGTGATTTGGTAACACAGTATGCCTGATCGTGTGGGTTCCCGACACTCACTGTTGCTGCCATGGCTTTCTTCTGGTTAAATACAAGTATTCCACAGTCTTTGCCTACCTCATCCTGCTCTTTGCATGCTCTTCCTCTTCCCTCAGCAGTTCCACACACAACACTGACACTTTCAATGGGAAAATATTCTTACACGGAAAGAAAATAAAACTTGATAAATTGCTCACCCAAGTATTTAAATGGCAAAAATGCACGTATAAAGATGTGTAATACACACTCATTAGTTTGTATATTCCTGTACGTGTATGCGTGTGAGTGATAAGGATGTAATTTAGGATTGACAAAGGCTAGTTATTAGGGACTTGAGAGTTTGAGCCTACAGAAAAGGTGGAAATGGTCTCCTTTCGATGAGGTTATTTGTAAATGTTTCACTCCAACTCACACACGATTTAAGTCATGTTTCATCTCCAACTAGAGAGGGGGAAAAAATATTCCCCAACGTATTCCTTTTTTGCTTCCCCCAACACTCAGAATGTCTGCATGGTTATCCCGATCTATTCAGAGGGGATATTTGAGCTTTTGCAGTTCTTCTGAATGCTTGAAACCTCACAGAACCCAAAACGTACTCTCAGTAGAGATCATATGGAAAAGTGTAAATACAACTCCTTTTAACATACTCTAGGGTGTGAGATGTGATACATGTAAGATGATTGGACTGCAGTCTAACAATACCTTGCTCAAAAGTATACATCCTTTTTGCCAGCACATCACATGCTACAGGAAAAACCCAAATGTGAGTGTAGAGCTTGTTTACACACAGTGAAATAAAACATCATATTAGCATCAAATCCAAGAAAACACAACAAAGGGATTGGCGACGTGCTTGCACGTGTCCAAAGCGAGGAGGAATACAAAGGATTGAAGGTTTTTACAAAAAAAAAAAAAAAAAAAAAAAAATTGGTTCTTCTCCCTTCGACTCACGGTAATATTGTCAACATAAAAAGGTCTGAGCGTGAGATATCACACACATCCTCTTCACTTTGCATTCAAGGGAATGATGCCAGGAGGGATATAAAGCACATTTGCTGGCCCCGCTTTCTTTTGAACACCTGTCTTTATAGCTCTAATATCTCAGGTAGACAGACGTGGGATATTAGCGGGGGACAGATATGTGGAGGGAATGAATGAAAGGGTATTGGTTGGAGAAGAAAGGAGAAAAGAGAGATTGCATGAATGAGAAGTAAATGAGCCAGAGCAGTTGAAATACATTGAAGGGATATAATGAAGCCACTGAGCGAGGAGTCGGTGGGAGGAAAGACATGAGAGGGGGATTATAACAGGAGGAAGAGAATTGGGTGAAGAAAGGCCTGACGGCGCGGCGAGGTGATGGAAACATTAACAATATGATTCAAACAAGATAGCTCAAGGGGTGAGAAAATAGGAAAGGCTGGGTGACTACAGCATCCAACAAAAAGGTCAGGAGGAGAAAAAAAACATGAAAAAAACCACGGACAGAGTCAGATGGAGACAGGAGAGACAATGTTTGATCGGGTCATTTTAAGAATAAAGCAGATAATAGTCTGTGCTGTACTTCGCATCTTAAGACATCCCGCATCAACACTGACAATGGTTTCTTGAAAATATGTGAATTGGATCAAGATATTGATTTTTTTTTTACAATCTGATCTGGATGTAACCACGTTAACTGGTCAGACCCGACTACTACTGCAGTGATTAACTGTGAATATGTCAGTGAATTTGTCTTAGTTTACTCCTAATTATTTAACACTAATGCATTGAGGTATCGTGTCTCATTCTTAAGTAATGCCAGAGGCCAAACAAACATGTTCATGAGTTTCATAAGGTTTAAATTGTTTGGCCTCTAAAGCTTTAAGGAGACTTTTAAAGTAAGAGAATTGGGATATATGCATTACCAAAAGCCGGCGGGATAATGGTGAAGCACCATATTCAAGCAAGACGTGGCTGAGGCAAAAAAAAAAAAAAAATCTTACACCTCAAGGGATGGGGACTAAACATTAGTATAACATTAAAGTCCCCATATAGTGAAAATAATGACTTTCAAACGTTACACACCACAGAGACGAGTGCCGTTAACAACCCCACCAAATTTGATTAAAAAAAGAGCGGTATATAAAAAAAAAAAAAAAAAAAAAAAAAAGAGGATTCTAAATCATGAAAAATCAAGCTTTTCTCTTTATGCTCGAATGCTGTGGGTGTGCCTGCCGAATGGGCTGAAACCAAGCCCTGCTGAATTGACAATGAAATACCACGACCAGTCCTGGAAGAATTTTATACATGTCAACACACAACTTCATGTTTTGAGCTATGGCTGAAATACATCCCACGGGTCATCATAAGGCTTTTCCACACAGCGACAACGGGGTGCTCTAATGCGGCCATGCCATCCTGAAGCCCCAGTCCAACATGCTGGCTGTCAAAATGGACTATAATTTTAAAAATAAGAAAAAGTTCCCCATCCTCATGCTTCCAACATTCGCTGCATATTGTACTCATAATCACGGGTGACAACGAGGCGCTCTAAATAGCCACGTCGGTGTATGCACCAAAGGAAGGAATCTTTTCAGAGTGTAGTCATAGCTAGTGAAGTGTGGATCGAGTGGATCAGAATTGATCAGAACCGAACTGCACTCAAATTGTTATATAATGGGGTGTGGGATGACTCCTGCCAAACTCCAAAGAGTCACACAATGCCCTTTTAGGAGAAAAAAAAATAGGAAAAACAAAATGATAAAAACATTTCATGCTATAGCTCCACAACTGAGTATTAAATAGTTCTGCGTGTATGCTTTCAGCAATTGTCATGTACTGTACATGTTTTTAAAAACACATCTTTGAATTGACTTTACATTGTCTTTCAGAACACCACTAAACATTGAGGCTAACGGTTGAAAAGCCTTCAATTTGCTTGGGAGCATGAAGGCCGGAAATGGATACGTGGTCTGAACCTTCCATATAAACTAGTGCAACCCTCCTATTATTATCACTTGAGAAAATATTAAAACAACAATCCATTGTTTGAACAAAAGCCGCGTTCTAGCAAATGTGAAATAAACATGACAATACCATTCGTGAAGGCAATCAACAGCAGGTGTGTGTGCGCGCGTGCGTACGGGCATGCGTGTGCGTTAGTGTGTTTATTTCCAGCGTCAAATTTTTGTTTTGTGCTGTTTTACAGTCAGAGATAAACTGGGCGGGGAGAGAAAAAAAAAGTGTTGGTACCGAAGCACAGATGGTTGTTTAAAGCCAAAGGAAAGGCAGAGTAAACAAAAACACACACGAGCATGTAATAATGTACACATGTGAGTTCATGAAGTATGGAGAGAAACAACAGATGTGGAGTTTATAGGACCATTAAATATTACCAACAGCAACAAGGCCACAAACGTGACATAACAGAGACCCAACTACCCGCGATATTTCACAGTAGCCATGATTACCAGGAAAAGGGTGAAACAATACAGTATAATTTGTAAACTGCTCTTCAATTTACCAGATTGATTTCTCCATCGCAACTGCATCAAATGCACTCTCTACTAACTACCCGCTACTCACCTGACTACGCTAGTCCGCCCATGCATCCCCCCACCTATACTTTCAACTTGTTCTGCATGATCCTGGCTAATCCCTTACACCCGCTGCCACTTGCTGGACAGATTTTAAATGATTTACAATGAACACAAGCCTTATCCTCAGTCAGAGGCTGCATTTTACGATGCCCAAAAAAAAGAAGAAAAAAAAAAGGAAATGACGTATAAATAGGTAATGAATGGGTACGCGGTCATAGTGACTTGACTTACTCATACGTCATTGGGAATAAAAGAGTTAATGAAAAATATTTGCCATTAGCCTGTTTGTTTGTTTTTTTTTTTTTACATTTCAAAAAATGATTTCTAATTTGGAGGAAAACATTTCATACTATTCTAATCGGATCGTGGTAACTGTAAAGGTGAGGTAAAAGCTAGAGTTTATTCACCTATTTTTTTATGAACAGAGGTCAGGTTCACATGGCCTTTTTTTTTTCAAAATGAACATTACACATGATATTCATATCTATGTGAAGACCATCACTTTAATGATTTAACAGTGTAGGAAAGAGAGTAAATGCCAATATGCAACACTATTTCGAGAAATCTCTGCAAGTGTTTACATTTTCAAATGATCATTTCTACAATAGTGCCATCACTGGTGAGTTATTTTTTAGAACAGGTCTGCTGGCTACTCATGTGGTTCTCGGGGGCAAACTGGTGCCTGAGGGCACCACGCGGGCGACACCTGATGTACAGTAGACTATATATCCTGTGTACATCTGTAGTCTTACTTCTTATCGACCGCAAAAATCCCATATTGGTCAAGCTCCACAGTTGTCGTAATACTTTTGTCCTCGTAGCGTATGCCATTATTGTATGATAATGTGTGTCAGATGGGGGGAATGACGTTAGAATGTCAGAGATTTACCATTGTGACGTAAGTGCAGTGCAATGCAAACAATATGACAGGCGAGCGTGTTGGGCCAACATATACACATCCTGCTCCTACACACTCTCCCTTTTGTCACAGACGGCTGAGGCTGAAGTGTAGCACCGCTAGGCTAAATGGTCCGGTGACATTTCACAGCATAGTGAGCATGGAAGAAGTCATCATGAAAGCTTCATTTCTCTTCTTTCAACAGTCTCTTCACATCATTTTTCAAGACTGCCATGGATGGAGCATCTTAATTAGAGCACTTGTGGCCTCCTCTCTCACTCCAATCTTGCACTAC